GGTGCAAACTGGGACATGAAGCCTGGTGAGAAAAGGTGAGTCATGAGTGTGGCCTGGGACAATATGTAGCCTTCCTGCTGCCTTGATCCTGCTCTGCTTTCTGCCTTCCATGCCATGCCACCCTGCCTTAAAGCCAGCAGATTATGCACTGAAACCTCTACACTCTGTGAACTAAAATAAACCTTTTCCCCTTTAACTTGTGGGTGTTGGGCATTTTGTCTCAGCAAGAAAGTAACCAAGACTGGAACAAAGACTGTCTCCAGAGTTTAAAGTTAGCCAGATGTGGGTAGCACAAACTGTAGTCCAAGCACTCTGAGGCTGAGGCACAAAGATTACAAGTTCAAACTCAGCCTAGGCAATTAGCAAGAAAGACTATCTCAAGATAACAAATTTTTAAAAAGGGGGGTGCTAGGGAGATAGCTCAGTAGAATAAGCACCTGCCTGGCAAGCACAAGGTTCTGAGTTCAATCCCCGGTTCCACCAAAAAGGGGGGGGGGGGCTGGGAATGCAATTCAGTGTGAAAGCCCTGTTTCTCAACTAGAAGAACTTGGTCCTAGTATACCTCCGGCCTAAAAAAAAAAAAAGATTGTTACTCTGCTTGTTGGACAGAAAAAACAATTTACATAGCACAATATAAGAAACACGAATTAGTTCCTAAAAGCAAGAGCTACAAAGGAAAGATAGAACATGGAGGGAAGGGGGATTGAAGGTGTAATGTTCTGGGCCGGCTAAATAGTTCAGTGGATTAAAGTGCCTGCAAGCAGGCACAGGGCCCAGGGTTCAATCCCCTGGCCTGCTGTGCTGGCCCCGCCCCTGGGGGGTACACTAAGATGGCAATTGAGACTGGGCCTGGTGGTATGCACCTGAAATCCCAGCTCTTGGGAGGCTGTAAACAGGCGGATCACTATGAGTCTGATTTGGTAATGAGACCCTGAACACCCTGTAGACCCTTCCCTAAAATACAAATATAAATAATAAAGTTTTGGGCTGGTGAGATGGCTCAGTGGTCTAAAGCACCTACTCAGAATAAGCTTAGTCAAAGCACAGGGACCACGGTTCAATACCCAGCACCACATGCCAGCCAGCCCCGCCCCCTGGTGGGCTGAGCTGGCCACACACAAATAAATAAATAAATAAAATTAAAAAAAAATAATAAAGTTTACCAATAAAATTAATTTTAAAAAAAGAAAGTGCAATGTTCTTTTTTATTTATTTTTTCATTTATGCATATGGTACAGGGCCTCACTACACAGCAGGGACTCATGATCCTCCTGCTTTCAGTCTCCCCAGCATTATGATTACAGGAGTGTGCCACCATGCCCGGACTTGGTGGCCAACTCTGAGCCTGCAGGGCATATGGTACTGGGGATTGAACCTAGGACCTTGAGCTTGCCTAGGCTGAGCTATCTCTGTAGCCCAATCTCAGCACTTGGAAGCCTGAGGCAGGAGGATTGTGAATCCAAGGCCACCTGGGACATATAACAAATTCAAGTGCTTCCTGGAGTACATAGTGAGACCCTACCCCAAGAACACACTCAGGATTACAAAATGCATTTAAGGCTTGGGACAAAAACCTGGAGAGAACTCAAATACTGCTAAGAACATAAACTCTAGGGACAAAGGGCCCAAATCTAGCACACTGATTCCTTAGGTCTCTGACAAGCATCTTTATTAGGTAAGTATATTACATACTATGTATAAATTTCCTAGGGAGCTGGATGTGGTGGCACATACCTATAATCCCAACACTCAGGAGACTGAGGCAAGAGGATCACCATGAGTCAGAACAACCTCAACTACATGCATATCGAGACCCTAGCTCAAACAAAACCAAACCACCTCTCTCAGGGAAGAATTATTCCAAGTATAAGGGACCTGACCTGCCTGGTTAAAGAGCCTGCTATTTGTAGGGCTGGTGAGACAGCTCAGTGGACTAAGCAGTAGCATAGCTAAATGCCTGCTACGGCAAGCTCAGTGACCTGGGTTTGATCTGCACCATATGCCATGCTGGCGCTTGCCCTGCCTCCAGGCATGGTGGCACATGCCTGTAATCCCAGCACTGGGGAGGCTGAATATAGGAGGATAACTATGAGGCTGAGTCCGAGGTGTGTAGTGAAACCCTGTATCAAATACATTTAAAAAAAAAAAAAAAAAAAAGTCTGCTAAGTGGGTAGCTTTTTGTCTGAGAGGCCCATTTCCTCTGGAGCAACACCCAAATCATAACCTCATGCTTATTTTCAGATGAGATTGGGTACATTCAGGGTGGTATGGCCGTAGACTCATGCTTGTTTTCAGAATCCAACCTTTTTTTTTTTTTTGTCCTTTCTACCTTGATAATGAAATCTTGCTGTTATAATTCACGTAACTGGTACTTCCCTATTTCATGCCTGGTTTTTTCTGTCATCAGTACAACCCGCTTTACACTTACCTTCAGTGCCGGTGGTACAATGGTATAAACATTTACTGTAAAGGATATTAGAACTGCCTGAACTCAATATTTAATTCCATGAGTTTAGAATATTAGTCTTCCTTTCCTAATGTACAAAAAAGTACAGAAAAAAATGCACCTTAAACTGATCTTAAATCTTGAATGCTTGTGTCTATCATCCATTTTTTTTTTACTTTAGGGTGACTGCTTTGTGGGAGGAAGGAGCCAGAAATTGAGACAGAGGGAGGAACAGGGCAGGGACCAAGTGGACACGGCAGGCAGGAGAGCTGTATAGTTCAGTCTGAGGCCTTTGTGGAAACCACATGGCAAGGTTGGAGCATTTACCCTTTACCAGCCAGATTCCAGTGCCATACTGGATTCAGCCCTGGGTCCCATCTGATGGACAGAAGCCCAAACATGACTTGGCTTTCTCTGGGGAGCACTCTCAGGAGACTGCCGATTCTGACTGAGCCTAGCTTTGCAGGGGGCTCCTGCAGAAATAAGTCCAACTACTTGAAAACCACAGAGTACAGTAAAACTAGACAAAAAAGATCTCTCCTAAATCACCCATAGCCATATGTGGTGGTGCACACCTGTAATCCCAGCACTCAGGAAACTGGGAGTGGGACTGCTGGAGGTTCAAGGCCAGCCTGGGCTACAGAGGGAGACCCTGTTTTTAAAAAAACAAAACAAAACAAGAATTAAATCAGCCTAGGTGAGGAGATAGCTCAGAGGTCTAAGCACCTGCCTGGCAAGCACAAGGACTTGAGTTCGATCGCAGGTACAGCATGCCACACTGGATGTGGTGGAGCACACCTATAAGCCCAGCACTCGAGAGGCTGAGATAGGAGGATCACTACGAATCTGAACTGCGTCGCAAGACCCTCTATCAAACCAATCAATCAGCCCAGGCACAGGACTTCTCAAGTACTCCGTACGTGCTGAGCCCCACGCGCAGTTAGGTGCTGAAGCCTGTATTTTCTTGTCTAGGCTGCAGTCCTATCATTGCACTTGCCCCAGTATGATGATGTGTCAGTATTTCAGGGGAGGTGGCTTTGGCTTTTTGTGTCATTGGTAGTCTGGTGAAACCTATAAATTATGCTTAGAATGTTTTTCAATTGATAAAGTACATAGAATCAATCTCTCTCTCTCTCTCTCTCTCTCTCTCTCTCTCTCTCTCTCTCTCTCTCTCATTGGATTGTTTATAAAAGAAACCAACCAACTTAGAACACGGTTCTGGACTCCAGAGGTCTGGTAGGAACTCCCTGAGTGCAGGAACCATGTCTCTACCTCTGCACAGCCAGTGCCTAGCACAAAGCCTGGCATGTAGACGGTACTTAGAAATGTTTATTTAGTGCATGAACAGAAAGGTAGCTATCGTCAAATCAGCCTGAGGGATGATCCATTGCAACTGCTTGCGCATACATCAGCGGCTCGCATACGACGTCTCTGCCCATCTAAAATCATCCAGACTGGGGCTGTGAAGGAACCCCCACGCTCAAGAACAGGCACCATAGCAGCTAGTAGCATCAGGCTGCTGGGAAGACCAGAAAAACAAGCTCATTATTTCACCTGCTGGAACATTCAGGGTGAAAGTAAACAGGCTCTGCCTTAAGGAGAATTCTTCAGCCTGGAAGCATGATGCTCCAACGTCTATAAAACACTACCAACAGTTCTAATGGAGAAAGGAAGGAACCTGAGCGAGCTCGCTGGCATTCTCTAGAGCCCCTCTGCTCTCCTGAATGGGACCTTTCATCTCTGAGAAAAACATCCCTAAAGATCATAATGGGGATGAGTGTGCCTTTAGGTTGAGGCAGTCGTGTCAGTCTTAGACAGAAATTTGGTTGTGCGTACCAAAAGAAAAACTGAAGCAGGAAACAAAAGCATTTCTGTCTCTACAGATAACATAAAGGGCCAAAAGTTGGTTCTAATTTGAGTGCTAAGTTCTATTAAATATTTTGAAAAGAAAAATAAACCCCCAATTTTAAAGTGGAAACTCACTACTAAACGGGGTACAGAAACCTCACTTTTATAGCTTTTAAGAGACCCTCCCAAGTTAGAAGGCTTCTCTGAGGGGTGGCAGGATGCAGTTTTCAGACACTTGATAGGGTTCCTAACATCTGATGGGAAAAACATGGCTTCAAGTAGGTTCCTTCTTTTTTCTTTTTTTTTTTTTTTGGCGGAACCAGGGATTGAACTCAGACCCTTGCACTGCTAGGGAAGTGCTTATTCCACTGAGCCATCTCCCCGGCCCCCAAGTAGGTGCCTTCTTTGAAGGAAATAAAACAAAAAAAAAAACAAACAAAACCCCCCCCCAAAAAAAAAAAAAAAAAAAAAAGAGAGAGAGACTACAGGTCAAAATGTTGCTTTTAATAGAAAAAAAAAAATCCTCCCATTCTTAATGTATGTGCTTTCTTTTTTGACCTATTTTTTTCTTTAAGCTGTCTGCAATTTCCCTATATTTTTTTCTAGTGCAGTAAACAATGCAATCAAAGAAATAAAAACCAAGGTCCACTCTTGCCCCAAACAATGAAAAGGGTCAAAGAGAAGGAATCACAGTATGGAAAATGGCCCAGCTCCAAATATATAAACATTTATGGAGAAAAAGAAAAAAGAAACACAACAAAACAAAACACCCTCAAAGACATTATTACTGATGTTCCTGGTGCACTTTCCAGAGTACAACGACATAGGCAATGTTTCTTTCACAGAGAATCTGCTCACCCAGGAGACAGCTAGCTGGGGCCTCAGGAAGGGCTGGTGGTGTTTCCACCTAAGGTTTGTAAGAACTCAATCTCTTACAGAAACTCTGTGGTACAAGTGAGTCTAAAAGGGGTTGAAGGTAGGCAGGCATCTGTCATTTTTCCAAATCAGCCAAAAAGCTGAAGAGTGTGGGTCTCGGGGACAGACGCCACTGAGTTGAGGGATGGGAGGGAGAACAAGAGGAAGCACCAAAATGAGTGGCTGCTTTTAGTTCCAAAGCCAAACCAAACCAAACAGGCCCTACTGACTAGGCAGCTAGTCTGGATGAGGAACTTCCCTGCTCCTGGAGACATGCAATAGAAACGATGGCTTTGGAGCCCCAGCCCAGTGACAGCCACAGTTCAAGAACCAGAGCAATTTAAACCATATCACATAGTCTACAAATGAATGGACTGACCCCAGGTTGGGAGGGTAAGTGCTTTGACAAAGTGGAGGACAAGGTGAGCCAGCTTTGAATCTCAAAGCACAGCTGTGGCATTCCTTGATTTCTGTTTCTGCAAAACCACAGGCCACTGCTGCCACTTGTTCTGTGGAGATGAGCCCTTCCACTTACCAGCAACACAGCACCCCTGGTAGCAACCCTCAGAGATCTCAAGCAGCATCAGTTACATTTCAGGAAGAAAGATAAGAGCCTTGCCCGTCCTTGACAAAGCACTTCCCTTTCTAAGCTGTTACTGGTGAGCTACCTTCCCCTCCAAGCAGAGTTCAACTTCCATTTGTGGCAGAGCCTTTCAAGGATACAAAAACATAACACTGAGTTGCCTTCCAGCGCCACATCTGCATTCCAGAGTTTGGTCAATGCATCTTTACAAGCATAAGACCAAGTGTACACAGATAGACTAGACTAGTCTGAAAAGTGTTCTGGTTCCTTCAATGCCTCCTCTAAAAGAGATAACTTTCTTAGATGACTAGGACATTGAGTGACCTCTCAACTTGTGGAAGGGTAGCTTGTTTGTCCACTTTTGAATGAGAGGATGGGGCAACATTTTCAGTTACAACGAGATTTTGTTTTTGTAAAAAAGGATCCTATGTGGAAATGAGTGGGACAATGATAAAAATAAACAAATAATTAAAATTCCAAACCGAAACACATCTCCTGGCCCCGAGACCCCATTAGTCCTCTAAGACTACAATTTCCACATTGTGGACTTGATGCTGATGTTCTTCCATCTCGGCCACAACTTTCTCCTCAGTCCTCAGCTCTGTCTCCAAGATGACTGCTTTGCTCTCAGTGTCTTCAGCCTCAGGATCTGGGGCTGGGTCAATTTCAATGATGGTCTGCCCATCCTCCGAGGTGCTTTCCACTGCCTGGATTGCCGAGGTCAAGCCGGACTCCATGGCCACCAGCTCCACAGGGCTCACCATGGTTGCCATGTTGCCCAGGGCACTGCCATCTTGCATGGTGGTGGAGCTTAGCAGTGCCAGGCTAGATGATGGGTGGATGGTCACCGTGTCTGGTGAGCTACTCTTGGCAGAGGAGACCACTGTGGCGTAGCGGAAGAGCTGAGGGCCAGAAGGCAGTGTGTGGACAGTCACAGGGCTGGAGCCCTGGCTGAGTGTGGCTACTGGAATATTGCCCATGGAAAAGGACTGACCCATGGGGGTGATGGTGATGGGTGAGATGACTGTGAACTGAGGCTGCTGCTGGACGGGAGGAGAAGGGCTCAGGACAGTGGTGGAGGCTGGCCGCTGGAGCCGCGGCCTTTTGGGAGGTTTGGGAGTGCTCACAGGCATCAGTACCACGTTTTGAACTGTCTGGGATTTTAGCCTATGGTCCTGGGCTTGCTTCTTTTGCTCTTCCAACTGGCGTTCCAAGTCTAGGAGAGAAAAAAAAAAAAAAAAAAAAAGACTGTGTAGAAGAAAGTATAATCCTGGGAATATTGAATGGGGAGCCAGGTGACAAGGCGTCTTTTCCAGGCTTACCAACTATGTAGCACCAGGCAAGTCACCACACCGCCTGTCTGTTCTTCTGGCCACCCTCCTTTTTTTTTTTTTTTTGCAGAACTGGGGATTGAACTCAGGCCCTTGCGCTTGCCAGGGAAGCACTTACTCCACTGAGCCATCTCCCCGGCCCCTCCCTTTCTTCTTTTCTATCTTCTTTTGGAAGAACTGGAGAACTGCCTTCTCACTGAGCTACATCCTCCATTACTTTTTTTGTTTGGTTGTTTTTTGTGGTACCAGGATCAAACTGAGGACCTTGTGCTTGCCAGGCAGGCGCTTATGCCACTGAGCTATCTCCCTAGCTCTCTTTTTTCATTTTTCATTTTTCTATATTTAGCCCTAGGTTTAAACCCAAGGGCTAGGGCTGGGGAGATGGCTCAGCAGAATAAGTGCTTGCCTATCAAGCACGGGGGACTGAGTTCAATCCCTGGTTCTGCAAAATAAATAAATAAATAAAGGGGCCTGGCCCTAGCTCAGTCCTTTAAGTGGCTGCTTCCACAAAGCTGTCAGCCTCAGGTTGCTGGAGTTCGAACCTCACAACTCTCCCGCTGGCCAAAAGTGCCCTGAAGGCATTCGGGGAAAAAAAAAAAAAAAAAAAAAAAAAAAAAAACCCTTAGGGCTGGTGAGATGGCTCAGTGGTCTAAAGCACCTACTTAGAACAAGTTGAGCAAAGTACAGGGACCGCGGTTCAATCCCCAGCACCACATGCCAGTCAGCCCCGCCCCCTGGTGGGCTGAGCTGGCCACACGCACACACACACACACACAAATAAATAAATAAAATTTAAAAAAAAATAAAAAATAAAATTAAAAATAAATAAATAAATAAATAAAATAAAAATAAAAATAAACCCAAGGGCTAAAGCATGCTAAGCACCTACCCTACTATTGACCTACATCTCCATCCCATATGTGTATGTGTATGCAAATATTTGGGGAGGCACTGGGGATTGAGCCCAAAATCTTCACACTATGCTACATTCACAATGATGCTGCATAATTTTACTGGTTAGTGTGCTTTTTCAATGCATGTATATAATGTGTAATGATTATATCAGACAACTGGCATACACATTATCTCAAATAGCAGTTCTTTGCATTAGGAGCCTTCAAAATGTTCTCTACTTGCTATTTTGAAATTTCAAATAATTGTTGTCAACCATAGTTATTGTACCCTGCTATACAATATTAGAATTTATTCCTCTTACGCACCCTGTACCTGATAATCCCCTCTCTCCATTTTCCTTTTCCTGAACCCTTTCCAGGTTCTGAGAAGCATGTGTGTGCATGTGTTGTCTTGCTGGGCATTCAACACAGGACCTCATACACGCTAAGTAAGTAAGTATGCTACCACTATGCCAAATCTCCAGGGCTGGGAACCACTATTTTGTTCACTATTTCTCTGAGATCATCCCGTAGGTCTTATAGCCTGATTACTCCTGCCTGGGTCTACAGATAAAATGACAGGTACCCAGAAGGCTGAGGCAGGAGGATCCTACATTTGATGCCAGTTTGGGGGTATATAGTAAGCTCAAGGCTGGGCTGTAGAGCAAGACTCTGTCTCAAAACAAAACAAAATGCCAGGCATAAGGGCATATGCATTTAGGAGGCTTCATAATAAGTATGAGGCCACCCTAGTCTCTACATAGAGACCTTGTCTCAAAAAAACAAAAACAAACAAAAAACAACCCCAAAACACTAGGTATGGTGGTTCATGCCAGTAATCCACACACTCCGGGAGACTGAGTGTGACCCCAGTCTGGATGACTCAGTGAGGGCCAGCCAGGTAGCTCAGCAGATTAAAGCACCTGCTTAGGCAGACACAGGGATAGGGGTTCGATCCCCAGCCTGCCGTGCCAGCCCTACTCTCAGGGCACGCTGAGACTGGGCATGGTGGTGTGCACCTATAATCCCAATGCTAGGGAGGCTGAAAAAAGGAGAATCACTATGAGTCCAATCCTGGGTTCAATCCAGAGAGAGAGAGAGAGAGAGAGAGAGAGAGAGAGAGGGAGAGAGAGAGAGGGAGAGACAGAGATAGACAGAGAGAGGAAGAGGAAGAAGGAGGAGGAGAGGGAGAGAGACAGAGGGGGAGGGAAGGGCAGCAGGAAAGGAGGGAAGGGGCAAGAAAGAAAAGGAACTGAAAGAAATAGGAAAAAGAACAAAAGAGAACGAGAAGGAGGGGAGAAGAGGGAGGCAGGAGAAGGCCATCTGCATAATTTGCTTGGTACTGTCCTGGAGCTACAAGGACCACTGGGGAAAAATAATGCTTAGCTGCATGGGATGCAAAACTGCTTCAGTGTCACACTCTTCCATTAGCTCACAGCCATCTACAGACAGTTATAGAAGGCTGGGTGTTCAGCTCAGCAGCACAGCACTTGCCTGGAAAGTTGCTGAGGAAGCCCACAAGAATTGAAGAACTGAGGCCTTAGTATAGTTATTTTAAAGGGATCCAGAGAGGGAAAGTGACTTACTTAAGGTTACAGTGCTTGGTCCAGGACAAAAACCTTCTAATGGCCAACTTAGTTGCTTTTTCATTACGTGCCTACCACTACTGCCTTCCCAAGTGTCCAATTCAACCTTAGTGATCACTGGTGAGCCCCGCTCCACACAGCAGCCCTCCACTGCTTACTATCTGCTAAGCACACAGGAGATAATCAGGTACACTGGTAGAGCACCTGGCTCCCTCTGTGTGATTCTGTGATACAATGAGTAGATACAGGTTGCAGGTGTAGCTCCTGTGGACAATGCTTGCCTAGCAGGCACACGGCCCTGGTTTCAAACCCCAGGTCCTCAAACCACACCCTCCAAACAAAAAACTATGGTGTCCCATGCATGCGTCCACACAGGCAGTCCCAGGCACAGCGATCCTAAAAGCCTTGTAGGCTTAAAGTGACGAGTGTCTTCTGTATACTAATAAGATGACTGCCGGAGCCTTTGGGATAGGGTGAGTCATCAGAGACCACAACGTGCCAGAGTTGGTCTGTCAGCCCCGTGCTCCCTCCTCTGAGATAGGAAGGGGCTGAAGGTGGAGCTGATCCCCAGCAGCCAATAAGGTGATCAGCCACTGAACAGTCACGCATGCATAATGAAGGCCCCATGAAAACTCAAAATGAAAGTTCTCCAAACTTTCAGGTGGTGAACCCACGGGGTTCCGGGAAAGCATGCATCCAGAAAGCACATCAGAGCGCCGTGCTGTGTCTCTTCTAACTTGCCCTATACTGCGCTTCCATTTGTCTGTTCATGTTCATTCTTTGCAACATTGTGAGCTGTGTTTGGTTTGGTGGAATAGGGAGGGAACCTAGGGTCTTCACACTGAGCTATAGCCTCAGCCCTTTTTATTTGCAGACAGGGTCTTGCCTAGTTGCCCAAGCTGGCCTTGAACTTGTGATCCTCCTGTCTCAGCCCTTTTTATTTGCAGACAGGGTCTTGCCTAGTTGCCCAAGCTGGCCTTGAACTTGTGATCCTCCTGCCTCAGCCTCCTGACTAGAAGGGAAAACTGAACTTTTCTCCATCTTCAAAGGTAATCAAAGAAATGTGCCCTTGAAGCAAGATATGGTAGCACCTACCCCCT